GCAAATGAAAGACATGTACATAAATGTATGCCACAAATTTTTTATAACAAATACCTCCTTCATTATTTGTGGCGCTAACAACTGCCGCATCGGCTCCGAACGTTGCCTCGATTTCCTGGAAAATGAATAAAGAATCAATATTACCTCCAAAATTTAAGCAGCAATAAATACTGGAATAAAGATCCAATATAAAAGGCCAGGAAGAAGGGAGGCCCAAAAGCTGATTACAAGTTTTGGCCTCTTTCACACCCAGCAAATGTATTTGTGAAATTTCCGCTTTTAAGCTTCATTAGTTTCTTGTATTGAAATTACACGGACAGACAGGCCTGCAGAGATGCGATGCTTACATGGTCAAAAATTAAATGCACAAAAAAGGCACAGAAAAGCATAGCAAATAGTGCAGGCTTCACAAAATGACAAGGCACCCGAAATTATAACAAACCATTGCAAATAAGTTATCGAAGCCATTGACAGCAGTGGGTGTTTTGCTGAATTTTTGCGCAAATGCATCAGATATGTTGTGAGCCGGATCGGTCGAGATCAATAGCACACTTCGCCGTGATTTTGCCAGCTGAATGGCCAACGAGCAGCTAAAAAAGACATAAACTGACAACATTACTCATTCAATGATGTTTTGGATGAACAGATTGCAAGAACTACGGTGCCCCCTCCTCCCTTCCATCCATCACTTGCTCCTGTCCCAATCCATAAATTTCTTGTGAAAGAAAAACACTCTCTTGCAGGATGAATTTCGTTGAATGATAAAACTCTTAAAAATGCTTGCTGGCCGACAAAATTCAGCGACTCACCACAGGGCGCCCCCTTTGCTGAGACTTTCAAGTGGTCGGGGTGCTACGACTTTGTCAAAAGAGACTATTCACTAGCGAAGGCGGGACGAGTTGATCTGCTGTTATTTTCAAAGTAATAATAATAAATAGCAACGCGAGCCAGACTAGCCGGTGCGATCATGGGTTTTGTGCATTTCAGCCCATCGAACGATTGCCTGTTAATGATTTTCGCTGCTTTGTACTTTTGTTTATGCAAAAATAGTTCAAACACTGGAAAACACCTAAAAATTTTACGCAACAGCGCATGAAAGCTGGATTCGTAACCTTGAAGGATGAATATCTTTCCGTGATTCCCGAGTTAATAGTTTACCCGCCAAAATTTTCATGAGACCGTAGGTGGTACCCGAGAGCGCGAGAACGCTGAATTTGAATGGGCAAGGTTGAGCGTGGACAGAGGGTCATTGCCCTAAAATTTCAGCCTCCTAGACTCCGTGGTCCCCGAGATATTAACTTACCCGTAAAAAACTTCCACGAGGCCGTACGAGTTACCCGCGGGTACGGGAAAGCTGAATTTAAATTTACCGGGCCACACGTGGGTAGAGACGTTCCCCTAAATTTTCAATTTCCTAGCTTTTGTGGTTCCCGAGTTGACAGTTGCGGACAAGTTGCTGCGGACCCACACGGACACACACACAAACACACACAGACAACCCCGTGACAATATGTGTTTTGTACTGCTGTTACACAGCA